TCCGTCCAGCACCAAGAGGCCCAACTCAAGCTACTTTACGATCTTCACTTGGGGCTAGACCAATCACTGGACAACAGGGTGTAGCTGGTGCAGCATCTATTCGTACACCACTTGTCACACAAAGTGGTCGCACTGCTGGTTATAAATACACAGCAAATATGCGTAACCCTCCAGCGCCACAGCCAGCAGTACACATTCAGGGTCAAGAACCCTTGACAGCAACTATGTTAGCTGCAGCGCCACTTCAAGAGCAAAAACAAATGCTAGGTGAACGTTTGTTCCCCCTGATTCAAAGAATGCACCCAGATTTAGCCGGAAAAATTACAGGAATGCTTTTGGAAATTGACAATTCTGAACTTCTTCATATGTTAGAGCATGGAGAGTCTCTGAAGGCTAAGGTTGATGAGGCTGTTGCTGTTTTGCAAGCTCACCAAGCTAAACAGCAGGCTACCAAGAAGGACTAAAACAAGAAAACTAGCTAATAATACTGTATGCTAGTTGCAATAAAGAAACTTACAAGAACTACTATTATTGCTAAGTTCTTGTTTGTTTTTTATAGCTTTGAATAATATTTCTATTGTTTTAAACAGTCCCGCTCGTAAAAATAAATGAATAAAAATTGAAAAAAAAATTAAATCGTGGAATTTGCACTAATCCAAATAATTATACACTTGTAATACAATTATGTGCATTTCCACAAACAAAAATACGAAACTATCAACATTTCTATATTTGATGGAGTAATACCACTAGACTTTTTACATTTACTAAGAAGAGGAGTATTGGGTTTGATTTAAGTTAATTTTTCTTTTTTTTATATCTTGAGTCTGTCTGTCTGTCTTTATGTTCCAAAGTTATCTTGTCTTTATTTTCTCTTCAGTTTGCTATTGGATTTATCTACCTTGGATTTTAAACTTGGTCACCAATGCAACTGATTAAATATACTTATATTTCTTTGTAATATGTTACGTATTATATATTCTGTCGAGTATTCATTAATACGAAGTAGTTTTATTTATTTATCCTAATAGTTGGTAATAATCCTAATAAAACCTTTTGATATTTTTTACTAAAAGCAGAATAAGTTTCTATAATGTATATTTTTTATTTAATATGAAATTAATAATGAATTACGAGAGGCAAACTTTGTAAATTTTTTTATAGATTACTTTTAAAATCCAACATTACTAGAAATTTAGAAAGTTTGTAGACGCGTCTTTTCTTCAATCGATTTAAATTGCAATTGTATGTTCTGGACTATATTCTAGATTGTACATATCGTATGTTTGTTTGTAAACAGCCGGCAAGTTGTAGGCTAGCTAGTAATTATCTGGTGCTATTCTTGCTAATTTAAACTGCAAAAGTTAAAAAAGCTTAAAGTGCAAAAGATTTTGCTTCTTTTTTACATTTTTACTGCTGACGAATTTTAATGAAGAAATTGTATAATTAATACGGATGTAGGATACTTTTACTCGAATTCTCTCAGCCATAACACCGGCATACCTACAGCTAGTAATATTATAAATGCGGAAAAGCGATCGACTTTTACGCTTTCACGCCTTAATCAAAAATGTCATGTATTGATCATATTTGTAAGCAACTGGCTGGCTACTAGTGGAGATAGAACAAGCATAAATTAAGGAAAGTTAGCCTATCGTGGCGAATTCTGCAGGTTCTAACTACGATGGCTTCCAGGCAAGACTGCATAGACGTCCACTATATGGTTCATTATGAGCAACCAGGACAACAATGCGAAATCCTCACTATAGGTTATATAATGGGCGTAATAAAAATCGACCTCGCCTATCTACAGGAGAGCTCTTTTAGTGTGTTTGTTTTGAATAATTTCATCAGCCAACTTTCACTCGAAAGAAGAAGCGGACAACTGTCCTAGACAGAGAAAAACGGAATCAACTACCTACAGATAGTCTGACTTCAATAAAACAAGTCATCTGGTTTATTGAAGTCAGGTAGGTTACTATAGCTAGCCGTTTGCAATTGTAGACCAATATATGGCTTGATGTACGTAGGTAGGTTACAGTAGGTTTTTGATGATTTTTCAAAAACTATTTATATAGTAGTAGTATTAAGTTCAGAGGAATTTATTATTTTCTCTACAATGGGGTAACGTGGACTAGCCACGAGTCCCAATGCTAACAATAACGTAATGGGTACATCTGCCTGCGTCAATAGTATACAGTAGAGTATGATAAGGTGAGCATTATGTCGGTGAAGCATATAAGCATACAAGAATTGATTACTAATTTGTTGTAATAGTTAATAAATATATCAATTATAAGAGTGTAGGAGGATAATTTCTACATGAAACTGCCTGACGATCTTAGCAATGTTAGGATAAATCCCTTACTTTTGAAAACCCAGCATTGGCAATAAGGTGCGGTTTTGATGATGGTGACTGCGTTTGTCGGGCGTGTCAGTATAGATATTTAATGCAGAAATTGTCTTTCCTTTTGCTGCACTAAATCTCAGAAAGGCAAAAAAGGAAAGCAGCAAAGTCTATACATAGGTATGTCATATTTCGTTTTATTGTACTTTTTGTATATATTATTTTTTATAAATTTACTGTTATTCAGACTGAAACTTACTTGACAAAGGGAAGATACAGAGGGTACTTTGATTCCTTATTATTTCATTTTTAATGTTTGAATTAATTTTAATAATTGGTTATCTTCTTATATATAAAATTTGTGTCATAATGTTAATTACCATGCTCCTCCGAAATGGCTAGACCGATTTTTATGAAATTTAATATGCATATTCAGTAGGTCTTAGAATTGGCTACTATCTATTTTTCATACCCTAAGCGACAAGGGTTGTCTATCACCAACACCTATGTTTTAAAAGAGATTTTAATTTATATGGCAAAACAACGTTTGCTGAGGCAGTTAGTAACGGATGATAATAATAGACTGCACCCCATATTATTAGTACCTAATCGATAAATTGTTTAGTGAAGTCATTTGATTGATAGCAATATGATGTAAAAAGTAATAGTAATCGTGATTAGTGGAGTTAATCATTATAATTAATTAATTAGTTTATTAAGGCTTCATGAACAGCCATTCAAGGCTCTGTATGAATGATTATGAGCCATAAAGTTTCGTTATAAAAATACGTATCATTATCACTATTAGTGCAAATAAGCCTGTGGCAGGCCTAACTAACCACATCTTATATTAAATTGATTTTGCTATAAGTGTGGTGTGTGTCTAATGTCCATAATTATGATGATGATGATGATTTATATAGATTTTCATAATCATATCATCTACATTGACGAAAGTCTGATGGTAAGTAGATACCGCCGCATACATACATTGTTATCACATTATAGGTACCACGGGTATAGTAATAGTTACTACTATTACTATACCCGTGGTATAATGTGTTGTACTTACACATGTAATATTTCGGTCCGCACTCGAGAAGAGTTAGTGAAGACGTAAACAAATGGAAGGGCCATTTGTTTACGTCTTCACTAACATAGATTTAAGTTAAATGTAAAGTCAGTCTACGTCCTGACTTCGCGTCGAATAAACGCGTTATACACTATCTAATAAACTTACTAATGTACCTACAATAAATCGTACAATTATTCTACCTGTCTACTCACTACCAAATACTACAATAAATAATATATTATGTAGCGCCAACTCATCACGTAATATACATATAACGCTACAGTGGTGAGGATAACCACCGCGCTACAACGTTATTAAGTGATGCCAGCTATGCCCTCATGCATTGTCATGCTGCAGAACTGAAATGTCATGCCTTACTACACTATAATTTTCTACCATATCTCACCTTTCAACCGAATAGCGACTTATGTAGCAAGAAGCCTGGGGACCTGAATACATGCCAAATTCCCCTCGGTCAAATTAAGTTAAATTTGGGCATATGTACCTAGTTATAAAATTCAATAAATGAAGGACAACAGTCATTTTGATTATGATTGACTAATCGTTAATTAAATTAAGTTTCTGCCAACACTGGCTGTGCCGGCTTTAACGCTATAAAATGAAATGGCCCAGTGGAAGATGATAGAATGGTCATGAATAGTTGCGATTTCATTCCAGGGGAATCCATATAGAGGTTGACTTGACTACATTGCCAGTAATGAGGTTACTACTAATTCCACACATAAAAGAATATTAGGTACATAGCAGAAGCGTAGCGTGCCTTGGCGGTGCCCGTATAAAATTTATTTTGGGGCCCCTTACGAAGGGTAAAGGCTTATTTATAGCTGATGCGAGAAAAAAAGAAATTGCTTTTATTGTCATTTGTGAAATAAAAAGAAACTGGGAAATTAATTTTGCTTACGCTCGTTAGGGGCCTCGTGGCCCGTATAATTGATACGGCAGATTACGCCCCTGGTACATGGTATGGGTATATCCAGGAAATATTCTATTATCGGGGGGTGGGGTAGTTAATAATGGGGAGTAATGACGCATTTGCTAGCACTGTACCATGTAAGATCGACCTCCACGCGATTTCCCTGGAAACCATCGTGGCTAACTGAGCTGACCTCATATTATCATCTTAAGCCTGCCAGCGTATACTTACCATTAGCGCAGGTGGGTGGGGGTAGAATTGCATTATCATTATCATCCATTAAAAAAATATCATCTGTGATATAATATATCTACCATATGAGCTCTAGAAAGCCTATTTCAGCCGCTAAATAGCTTGCTTTGAAATGTTTTGTAAGTTGTTTTTGGTACTAGCGTAAGGTGAAAATAAGCAGTTGACAGGCAGGATAAGAGTCTTAGTCCATTGCAATAGCATTATTATTTAAAACATTTAATAGTAATAATGTATTTATTTATTTAAACAAGGTTTATCCACAAATATACGGTTACACAAATAATTGCATTTCCATATATGGGGAATGCAATGTTCAGATTTCATAAACCATTATTTATAATGGATAATGACGACCTAATACTCCTTTCAGTACTAAGATTTAAAAAAAAAAAAAATATTTGCTTTTTAAAAAGTACACAGTATTGTAAAGAGACTGCCTATAAAATATGTCTGTACAACACAGGTAAATTCAATTTGACTTAGTATGACATAATACTTGTTTTTACATATAACATATATGACTACACCTACTTTAAGAGATGTCTATTTAATTTTTAGCATATTTTAAGTATAGGATATTAAAATCAATTTAGGGATGTAAAATGATGCACAAAACCTAATTATAAATATTATCAAGTGTATTAATAATATTGGTACATGTACATAATATTTCACATTAGTATATTGGTGAGGTTCAAAACCGTTATTGCATACTAGAGCTATTATTTCTAATCAATAAAAACAATTTGAACAGGCTACAATTTACAAAATACACACTGTTATTGTAGAACTAAACCAATTTTACTTGGTGTCATAGTTGGACATCTCCAGTTATACAAATAGTATTGCAAATTGCCATCACCAATACCAAATTTCAGTGGCTCTAAAAATTCTTTGTTTTCCATCAAATCTAATGCATTGAAAACATCAAACCCAGAATTTTTTGCAGTTATCAATGCATCAAGCATTAATTCTATCCATGGAGTCTTTGTAGACACATTATAAAAGGAATATGCTGCTTTCAATGTCTTGTGAGTTGGATGATACACAACAGTAGATGGTAATGTATAATAACTCACAAAGTCTGTTATAGAACCATCTACAGCTTCAACAACAAAACTATCAATAATGCCCACCTGGGGAACGAACCAATGTTTAAACTCATCTTCAGAGAATATTGGTGCCAAATCAAACTTTTTCAAGTAGTTATTCAACAAGGTCACAACTTTATCACAATCTTGAGTTTCCATTTTACGAAAACCTGGAGTTTTTGGTAAATCAGGAAGTTTAAACAACTTAAGTGTCCTTTGCATGGTCATATTTCTTGATAAATGGCTGAATTTTATGTCAATTAATTTTTTAGGATTGAGGGATCTATGCCAGTAGCGACATGTGGAAATTGGTTTAGGTAACACAATACCAGCCGTGTAAACACCTTGAAAGACACCAGTTAAATTAACCCTCCGGGTAATTTCTCTAATGAGGACAGGTGCCACTCTTTTTGATCGAAGCTTTTTATGTACACATAAAAAGTTAATTTCTACAACTACCTGCACATGGTCATATATCCTTAATTCAGCTGGTGTAGCAGATATAAAACCAACCAACCTCCCTGATTTTACCACACGGACCCCACAATGCCATTCCATTCTCCATCCAGGTGGCTGGAGAGCCCATTTCAAAAACTCTGTTTGGTAATCAAATCGAAACATGCAATCATCATCTTCAACATAGTTTTCATTAAGCAATGTATACAATTCTTTGAGTACTAAAGGCTCATTTAAATTCAGTGTATCCCATTGAAATCCATCAGGAAGTGTAAATGGTTCTCCTCTAATATCTTCCGGAGATTTAGGTGGTTCAATAGGCTCATTAGAAACAATTTTCTCATCCATTTTTGGGACTGGCTGAGTAGACCAAAACTGATACGATTTATGCAAAGCTTCTTCAGTAGTCTTGGCAGGTTTTTGCTGAAGATTTAAAACTTCCATTGCCATTTTTAAATCTTTTAGCGATATATTTTGATGAACATCTCCGGAATTAGGAACTAATGCATCTGACGGACCCGACACATCATGGTCGCCATCACCACCGCTGCGGTTTTTCTTAGATTTACCTTTTTTTTTCGGATGTTTGTCATCGTTTTCTCTTTGATAATCATTAGAATGAGATATTTTATCGTCTTCCATTAAAAATTGAAGATGATGAAGGCGATATCAAAAGGAGAAATTGAATTTGATTTGTTTTTGATTAGGTTTAGTTTATTAGGGCGGATAGGCCAGCGATCAGCGGTCAAACCATAGTTTTTTTTATTTATTGCGTATTTGGCAAGAAGTTATCAAAAAGTTTTAGATACAGATTCACAGTACTTACACAGAGAGGCTAATCTGACAGGTACAGTTAGACGGGTTTGTATACATAATTACCTAATAAATAAGGTCATTTGTTAAGCAAAATGATAATACGTTAGGCCAAGGGGAAACATTTGGATGTTTTCTTAATTAGTTATTTTTCATTCGTAATTTTTTAACCATCGATACTCATGTATCAGTGACAACATCGATAATAAGGCCGTATGGTTGTTTGCCACCATAGTAGTATAAAAAAAAAAACAAATATCCCCAACTGAAGAATGAAAACACAGACCACCAATATTCGAATGAAACATCCAAAGCAGAAACTCTTAGTTTATACTTTCTGATCTATCCTTTGTTGGCAACACTGATCATCTGTCCCGAACAATATTTTGTCATCTGTGTGTTTTAAATACATTAATTAATACATTAATAATTCCTATATTCGTAATTCTTAATGTTCAAAACTTTTATTCCGTATTAATACACAATAAATTAATCTTAATTTACTTTGATATTAGTACCAGCAATCATTATTAGCGTTTTTGTTTGGTAAATTGGCATTAAGCATAGCAATATGTGAAAGTGATAGTAAATCGTCAATAATCACTGTTGTAAGACTGATTTCTCTTGCTTACGCGTCAAAAATTATTTCAGCATTCCTTTTAATAATGTGGGTGGAATGGATGAAATAATTAACTAGGACCAAGTGTTACGTTACCTTGCTGTATCTTACAAGAAAAGGGTACTTTTGCAACTGTTGATATTTTTCACCGGCAATATCGAGTAAGTAAGTGCATTATTTTCAAAAGGTATTTAAAATTAGTGAAATCATGAAAAACTGTGCTTAAATATATGTTAAATGAGAGCGAAAGGTGAAAAAAAGTGTTACTTTTTTATGTGTGTGTGATTGCAAATAAATGGATGTAAGCTCTTTGTAGAGTTTATATCCTTTTGTTTGCATTTCCATTATAGTCTAATTTTTACAAGTACTTCTTTACAAAAGTCTGAAACTATGAATATATTCAAACAACATGAATTGTTAATAATTGGAAACAGTCATATTACAAAACACAAGTTTGTGCAACTTACGATTAAAACTAACTGTTGACAATTTTTTTAGGATAGTACAAGTACTATCCTAAAAAATTGTCATGGTGAACAGAAATAATAGTGACCAATAAAATATATCCATGTATTCAGAGATATCTCGCATCTATCTGTAATAAATCTAAATTATTTTCATTGTTTGTGGTCAGTACAGTGATCCACATATTTATTTACGTTTGTACTTATTTCAGGAAGGAATTGATTCTTGACATGCAATCATTTCTGTAATGAAAATCTACATGAAATATGTTTCATTGCTCATGGTTTAATACTGCTATGTTTTCTTATATATTAATTATAAATTTGAAATAAAAATAAAATAATTCTATACAGCTAACATCTTTGTTGAATTTAGCCAAATATTAAAAAATTCAACACTGGGTTTTTTTGCAAATCTAATTAAAATACAATTACAATAAATTAAATTATGTTAAATTATATTGCATTAAATTATGAATCCCTGTTCTATCATATCCTACAAAGTGCATGCTTAGTTTGCAATAGCCTAGTATGGATTTAAGCGATTCTCATAAATTCTGATAATAATATTTGTAGATATATTTACTATATTTTCACTCATCTGTTTCAATATCTCTCATAACTTAATATTTTACTTAATTAGTTTAGGTTCATTTTGTGTTATGTAGAATAATTTGTTCCAGCTTTAAATTATGGCTACTGATAAAGAACAGGTGATACAAGCACTTCGAGCTACCTTATTGTCAGTAAAAGGAGCCATTACTATAAAACAATGTAATCGTAAGTAGTATTTTTTTATATTTTACTCATGTTCATCTTTTATGAACATATTCATACTCATATCACCTTAAAATTATGTACACTCTTTTTAATTAACAGATTATTTTTGCATGTTACTATATTGGTTATGGAGATATCTTCCACATTCTGTTGCATAATTAGTTTAAAAAATAGCTGAAGTGTCATCATCAGTATATGTATCTGTAGAAGAACACAGTTCAGTATTGTACAGAATCCTCAATTGTATCTGTATACTTTTTACTCATTAAATAAATTCACAAGGCAATGTTTTATGCAATGTTGGAATCAAACTTGATACTTACTGGATCAGTTTATTGTCGTTAGGAAGAAATATATGCAATACATATTACGGTTGTATTAGAAGTACCATATATATATATATATATAAATACTAACTGTACTAGCCTGTAACTTCGTCCATGTAAATAATGAAAAAATAATTAATGACCTAACTCAATATAAGCTATATAAAAAAGGTTCATCATTTTAGCTTAAAAAATTATGATACAAAATTCAATACAATTCAATCAAGAGTCTAAAAAATAAGATTCAGGCTTCTAGCTTAAAAATTTATGAATTTAGATAAAAACTTGCATCCGCTATTTTATATTACCCCCTTAAGGGTAATTTTTTTACAAACTTTGAATGTCATATTTACTTATTTATATTAATCAACAGCCTCAAAAATAAGTTTCAAGCTTCTAGCTTTAAAAATGATGATTCTTCCATTTCAACCCCTTACAACCCTTTTTTCGCATTAAAAAGTTTCGCAAAAAAACAGCACTTTTTTAACAGGGATCTGGCTACCGGACAGAGCCAGCTGACGCGACTTAAGACGGATGACGGCAGGATCGTATCGTCTAAACCCGAACTTTTGAGGGAAATTGAGAAGTTCTATGGACAGTTATACACGATATAGGCGAAAGACCCTAGAGCCAAATTAACCCGACACTATACCGAAGATATATACAGCCTGTACGAGATTGGTATGGCTCTTAAACAACTTAAAAACAACAAGGCGCCGGGTGAAGATGGAGTTACTGCTGAGCTTCTGAGGGCTGGAGGTAGACCTGTTTTACGAATCCTCCAGAAGCTATTCAACTCCGTCATCCTCGAGGGCAGAACGCCTCAAGCATGGCAAAGGTGTGTGGTGGTTCTGTTCTTCAAGAAGGGAGACAAATCTCTTCTGAAGAATTTCAGACCCGTAACACTGCTGAGCCATGTTTATAAGTTGTTTTCGAGAGTCATCACGAATCGCCTCACGCGAAGGTTTGACAACTTCCAGCCTCCCGAACAAGCCGGGTTCCGAAAAGGCTTCAGTACCATAGACCACATTCATATGCTGCGGCAGGTAATTCAGAAGACCGAAGAATACAACCTGCCACTTTGCTTGGCGTTTGTGGACTATGAAAAAGCCTTTAATTCGATCGAGACGTGGGCTGTGTTACAGTCTCTCCAGCGGTGCCAAATTGACTATCGATATATCGAAGCGTTGAAATGTTTGTATGAAAACGCCACTATGTCAGTTCGCCTCCACAACCAGAATTCGAAGGCTATCCAACTGCAACGAGGTGTCAGACAAGGCGATGTCATATCGCCAAAGCTGTTTACCACTGCGTTGGAAGATGTCTTCAAGGTTCTGGACTGGAGCGGGCTGGGCATCAACATTAACGGCGAGTACATCAATCACCTTCGATTTGCCGACGATATCGTGGTCATGGTTGAGACCCTGGAAGACCTTAGCAAAATGCTCGAAGACCTCAGTAGAGTCTCACAAGGAGTAGGTCTTAAAATGAATATGGACAAGACGAAAATTATGTCAAACGTCGATGTCGTACCTGCTCCCGTAAAAATCGGAGATTCTACACTCAAAATTGTCGATCACTACGTATACTTAGGGCAAACTATCCAGCTAGGTAGATCCAATTTCGAGAAAGAGGTCAATCGTCGAATCCAACTCGGATGGGCAGCGTTCGGGAAGCTCCGATATATCTTTTCGTCCAAATTTCCGCAGTGTCTCAAGAAGAAGGTTTACGACCAATGTGTGTTGCCAGTGATGACTTACGGAACAGAGACGTGGTCGCTAACTATGGGCCCCATCAACAAGCTCAGAGTCACTAAAAGGGCAATGGAGAGGGCTATGCTCGGAGTTACTCTGCGTGATCGAATCAGAAATGAGGAGATCCGCAGAAGAACCAGAGTGACCGACATAGCCCGAAGAATTGCGACTTTGAAGTGGCAATGGGCAAGGCACATAGCTCGTAGGACAGATGGCCGTTGGGGCAGTAAAGTCCTCGAGTGGCGACCACGGACCGGAAGACGCAGCGTGGGAAGGCCTCCAGCAAGGTGGACCGACGATCTGGTCAAGATCGCTGGAAGGCATTGGATGCGAGCAGCGCAGGACCGATCGTCGTGGAGATCTTTGGGGGAGGCCTTTGTCGAGCAGTGGACGTCTTCCGGGCTGCGATGATGATGATGATGATGAATTAAAACTCGAACTATGGATCAGCCAGTTCCAAAGAAAAATTACGACGCATTTTCCTCATCTGTCATTATTCCAGATTTCGAATATGGACAAATATATTTCTGCACTTCAGGATCTGAAAACACAATTCTATTCGCGATTCCTTGATTTTCGGAGAGACGAAAAGTACCTGAATTTATTTGCTCGTCCATTCAGTGTTTCGGTTGAAGAAGTTCCGGAAGAATTTCAAATGGAATTGATAGAGCTACAGTGCAATTCAACCTTAAAAAACAAATTTGATGTTGATTTGCTTGATTTCTATTCGAAATACGTCTCCATTAGAGATTTCCCCAAAATCAGAGATCATGCACTTAAAACTATATCACTTTTTGGATCCACATATACATGTGAGCAGTTATTTTCACGCATGAAAAACGTGAAATCCAAAATGAGGACCAGAATCACCGATGTTCACCTTGAGAATAGTTTGAGGATTGCAACCAGCAATATTAAACCAGATATTGATAAACTGCTTAAAAATAAACAGTGTCAGATATCTCATTAACCAATTGAATTAAATTGATTTTTATTTGATGTGTCAATGATTTTTTTTTCTACTTATCTACTTGTTTAATCATCCTGACCATTACCTATAAAAATATCCTTATAAAAATACCTATGGTGCGGCCCGCTGAGCAGAATAAATTTTTTTTTTTGGCCCTTGTAAAACGTTGAAGACCGCTGGTCTATACTGTCTGTGTACCAAATTTCATTTAAATCAGTTTAGTAGTTTTGACGTGAAAGCGACACAGACAGACAGACAAACAGAGTTATATATATAGACTTTAGATATAAGAGGCTTCATATAAATATAGAGGCTTTAGGTCTCTAGTGGTTTGGTAAATCACTTTATTTCCGAAAGTCCACCAATTAGCAAGCAAGCAGAGTATTCTGCTTGTCTCTTGGGACTAGGCAGGGCTATATAAATGAATGATTTATTATAACTATCAAATTACGAAATGTTTTTTCTACAATTATTTGCAGGTGACTATCGAGAGCTTCAAGGAGATTGGATACCATACAAGAAATTAGGTTATCTGACATTAGATAAACTCTTCATTGATATTCCTGGTTTTAAAGTATCCCAAATAAATGGTGAATGGTATGTTGATGCTATAGCCAATCAAGAGTCACAGCATATTGCTTCTATGGTTTCACGTCAAAAATCAAGTAAGAAGGCTAATATAAAGTTGAGCTATTCAGTAAGTTCTACTTGTTTTAATTAATTAAATTACATCAATATATACTACTTACTATAAACTCCACATAGCTATAATTATATCGGTTTAAAAAGGTGGCAATTTTTTTTGTGACGAGTTTGTTAAATTATTTCCTAATACATATTTAGATACAAGATAAGTTAAAATTATATGTTATATAGGAATGTAATCCCCATTTCGCGAGTCCAGATCCCGTGACGTCGAGATTGCGGCTACCTTGTATTGCCTAATTTCCTAAATTAACTTAGTATTTTAGGAGATAATTTTCAAATGTGGGGTACATGTAACTGAAGTCGATTACTGCTTAGGGGTAGCATTATTAGTACTGATGAATTTATAATGGAACTGTTTTCGAAATTTCACCACACCAATGGGTAGTCTTTAAGATGAGTTTTTAGAGGTAATGTAGAGGCTTTTTAGATATTACTTTATAGTTGTTAATTGTATAAATAAACCGACTAACGGCTATGATCACCTGTAATAATATATACTTAAAGCATAATCATTATTAAATAGAATAAATTTTGGTGTTTCTGTATCTTTCAAAGGACTGAACCATGTTTTTACTTAGAATGCGCTGGATGTATGGTATCTCATAAAAATTTGTTAATAATCCTAATATCATAAATACCCACTTTTACCACGTATCTTAGGATTATTGCATTGTCGGACTCCTTAGGAGCTATTATTTATGAATAACTTAACCGCAAATCACTAGTTCTGTTGTTGCGTAACAAACCGGGTTTACTTTAATATATGAAATAAGGCTACTATATAAATATTTACAATACACAATTTATGATAGTTTAAATTAATTTTACTTTTTTTTTATTTAGAATCGTTTTCCAAAGAAACAAGGCTCATGGCGTAAACCAAGTGCACCAAATAATCATTCTACAAGTTATAACAATCAGTATTCTAACCAGTTCTATAGAGCTAAGCGTGGAACTTCTTTTAATAATAATTATAATAATAAAGTGAGTAATTTTGTTTTTAGTTAGAAATTAAGTAGAGCATATTATATATCTTTATCTACCCACTTCCCTCTCTCGTGTACCATGTACGAGGTAGAGATAGGAAGTTGTTTCAATTTTTTAACATATGCCTCCACTCTCTATGTAGGTATGCATAAGAATCATTTAAACAGAATAAAAATTGTTTAAAATAGAATATAGAGATGAGATAACATATAAATATGAAAATATACACTTATAGATAGTTAATAACTATAACTGAAAGGTTGAAATAATGTAGAAGGAATCATTAAACTACATTTTTTTTTTAATTTTTCCACGCCTAAATGGATTCGTATCATTATAATAATTATATAAAGGATATTCTTTGTTCAGATTAGGGTCAAAGTGAAATGAATAGTATGTTGAGTGGACTGAATATCGTAAGTCGATAAATATTAGAATTGTAGAATGTACCATTTTACTAAATAAACTGTATTTATTTCTAATTTCAGTTTAGCGGCAAATATAACAATAAATCTACAGAAATTAAAAATACAACTCAAAATACGAAACCAATCTCAAGATCACTTAGCGATTATTCAGAAAAAAGTGGATCTAATATGCCTACAAGAACAAATCAATCACATCCAGTTCGGGACTCTAAAGAAGAGGCAAGTGGCATATTTTATAAATGTATATCATGTGATTAATATATTTATATAATAGTATATTTAACATTTGTAGGTGAAACAACCCATGCGAACGGACCAAGACATTGATTTAAAACATAGTAGAAAGGTATCAGCTTCCCAAAGGCTATCTAACCTGAGAGATAGACTTAACACAGTGCCAGATCTCATTCCATTACAATTGCCAGCAGTAAACAACCAATGTTTGGTTAGTATCAAATAATTTTTATTCAGATTGTTGACACTTTATTATGTATAAATTCAAAGAACATTAAAGTACTCAAATATAGTAATATTTAAAATTCCGAAATGTCAATTAGGTATTAGCTATATATGTTTAATTAAAATTCTAATTTTAAAAGCTAATTCCAACTGCTATTAGACTTCATTTTACACAGAGTATTAATTAATATGGATAAATTTGAAAGTTAGAAATTATTGAACTAAATTGATTACTTACAGACTTATTATGTCTGTAAGTTACTAATTTAGTTGCTACGGTAGTTACGTGCAAAATAATATTTAATAATCTAAGCAAAACATGATGAATTTTACACCTATAATAATAGGAGTAAAATTCATCATGTTTTGCTTAGGTTATATATTGGATATTTCAAATAATATTTTATGGCTTGTCTTATTGAGTTATCTAAATTCAGTTTGTTGCACTGCAGTTAAATATTTACTACTTTTACTCAGTCTACACGGTACCATTACATACAAATGTATTGTTGAATGACTTAAAAAAACATTATATCTCTATTCCGTTGTATTTTTATTTATGTTTTATCTTAGAATTTAATCATTTATGAACCGATTTGATAAAGTATTTTTATTTAATAGGTTAATCTTTCAGATTGATTCCCAGAAATTTCATCAAGATTGATTGATTTAATATACCAAATCTAACTAAAGTTAGGTATTAAATCAATTTAAGTATCTAGAATAAAAGTATTCTTATTATGAATTTATATTTTATTATTATTCCTAAGTATTAGTCTATAAAGTATTTATAATATGGGCCATGTAGCCTGTATTAAATAAATAATATGAAAATAAAGGTGTTTTTAGATACTAGAATAGTCTCAATGAACTGCCTAGCTTAGATTACTTACTACTACTAACCTACTAATGTTTTATAACGATTGAAATCAGTTTTTTTTCAACTAGATTATTACTTAGGTAAACCTAAGTAATAACCAAATTAATTATACTAAAAAATACAATGCAACTTTCCTTAATATATGAATATAAGTCTTTGATGAATAAATTGCACTTGGGAAATCATTTGTTATATTATTATTAGGAAAGCAGTGGACCAGTCACAAATGTAGTACCGGCACATAAACTAGAACCACCTCCTGATTCCACGTCATCCGTTGTTAAGTTGGAGTGGACATGTCGAAAATTAGGTCTACCACAGCCTGTTTACAAAGTATTTGACATTGGACATAAACACGGCCCAGTTAGCTATTACTGCACTATCAAAGTAAATATATGTACTTTTTTTAAACTAATTATTTAAATTTATTCTATATGATGTATATTATAACTGTGTATATAAGTAATTAATTAATAACAGTGTATTCAGTTTTATATGGATATATAAGTACATTGAACTGTTTCTTAAAATTATATCTAAATTCATTTCAATGTTATAATTAAATTCGTTAATTCTCAGTTGTTGAATTAGACATTAGTGTAAAAGTAATTTATACCAATAAGAGTGCGGCGTTATTTATTAAACTCTCCAGAAGTTACCCACATATCCGAATCATTGTTCTATGATTTTAACACAGGTTGGAAGCGCATATACGTCGTCATCGTATCCTGATTCATCACCGTCAGATGATTTGGCAAAGGACGTTGCTGCGGTTAAATTACTAGCTAGAATAGAAAGTTTCAATGTTGATGGATTGCCCACATCTTCTAGCAGCAGTGCTTTGACATATCTCACAGAACTTGTGGCGGCGCATGAAGCTGGCCTTTGGGCTAATACCGTGCCTCATTTGTACAGGTATCTTTAAGTCTATATGCGTACAATGTTATTTTTATTTCAATTATTACTTAGTAATTATACAATAACATAACAATGGGATAAAAGCAAGGCAACAATGCTTTAATACAATAATGATAATAATAAAATAATGTAAATTATTTTTATATAATTAAAAAAGGCAATACAATTTGCTTCTTAAACATGTAAATAATTTGAAGAAGGTTCAAATTATTTCTATAAGAAGGAAAGAGAAATGTTACTTAACATAATTTAGGATGCATGTGATTTTATTGATTTTTGAGGCGCTGACCAATATGTACGCTGCATTGTTTCAAGATTAAAAGGCAGTGGCTATTAGTATGCACGACACTACTAGGCGTACGTAGTAGGCTACTACTTTTTTAGATTTTTTTTTTATTAACTTACACATTTTCGTCAGTATATTACCTAACGAAGATGTTACGCTCATTTACAGCCATTGTAAGTACTGACCTTTTCCTTTACGTTGTGTTATATATAAATCAAAATGATTGTACAAAATACATACTTATATTTTAGAGAAAAATATGGAGAGAATTTACCTAGTAATTGGCAAGAGCTGGTGGAAAATTGCCCTAGGATTATAAAAGATAGAGTTGTAAATGGACTTTTGGTACTTCTTCCTAATAAAGAGGTAAGGTGTATAATAGTTACTTTTACTATCAGTTCGTTATTCCTATATTATACAAATTACTGCATGTGCAGTCATATTTACGCCCGCGCATAGTTGTGAACAAGAATAGGTTGTTACGACGATATTAACATGGTAATATGCCCCTTACAGATAATATAAGTCTTTTTTTGTCTTTAGATAATGCAGTGATTTTTTTATAGTATAATAATAATATTATTGAGGTCTATTAAAAATATGAATATACAAAGATGAGAAACTAAATTGTATTTTTCTTATTCTAATTTTATACCTTTCGAATGTAATATATTGAAGTTTATAAGAAGAATTTTAATATATGCCTATTTATTTTCTCAAGTTATTTCAAAATACAAGCGCTGTAGAAAAAGTTTAGACTACAATATTTTTGGTTCTGCCTATACTGCGGTCATTCCACATTTCCTCACAGGTAAATAAAAAAACTTCGTATTTTTATAGGATGTCCCACGTTTACCGGTAGATAGTGATTTGCCGCCGTTGCAGTTTCCTGAAGAAGACTTTTGGAATGTCTATATAACTGTTGCCAATTCTACACTTGAAATCTGGCTGAGAATTATTGGACAAGAATATAGTGTAAGTACATAGAAATGCAGAACATAAAAGTATGTTTCATTTTATGAAGATGACAGCTTGAAATCGTTTTTACCACTAATTTATTCAATTATATTTTTACTAAACATTCTTATCAATTAACTGTACATGAATTAATATAAATCTACATATATAATGCAGGATGCTTTCGAAGAATTACTTGGCGATATGAAAAATTACTACGAGAACTCTGGTACTTCAGTCGACAAGTCCATGATTATTACTAATGCTTGGTATGTTGATTATATATTATTGCTTTTAAAATTGAACATATATCTGAATGCAAAATATTATAATTTCTATACAATTATTAAGATCAACTCAACCTCGCAACTTCGTTTGATAACTTCGATTAGTCTATATTTGATTATTAAGGTGATGTGATAATGGTCTAATTATGATGAGTCACATCCCATGTTTGAGAAATTGATGAATGATGCTCCATACAAATTTTCAGCGCCTTATTCTCATTCTTGTGATACAGTTTATATTCACGTTAAATTTTCTCAAAATTCCTTCAGCTGTTAAGTCATAAAAAACTAACAAAAGGAGAGACAAATACTGTCGTATTTATATTATTAATATAAGTTTTGTTTATTTTAAAGGTATGCAGTAAACTTAGACGATGGCGGTTGGCAACGTGCAAAAATATTAGAAATCGATGACGAAACTGCGACCGTTTTCTTGGGAGACCACGGAGACGATGATGTTGTGTGTTTACAGAAAATAAAGATATTAGAACCCCAATTCAGGAGATTGCCTGCACAGGTAAAACAATAATTTCAATAATTGTACCTTATTTAGCCTTTAACTGTAATTATTCGGTTTTTATCAGGCTATATTTTGCAAAGCGTTATTGATAAAAAATATATTTGAAATTTAAATATATATTCTGTTACTATTTAGTTAATCATGAAAGCAACTTCAATTGAAATATTCGTGTAAAGTTGACTTTTACGGTTGGTAAAACTTAGCAATGTACTTTGCCTATTTTTATTTTACTCTTAATGTGTTATTTAATTATTGCGATAGGCGTACATTTACTCAACTTATCAAACTTTTGAAGTGTAAAACTTGCTATAATATTTGAACTTCTGTAACTATAACTTAACTTAGGCTAAAGGTGTATTAATTAGAACATACAAAACAAATAACGGTTTTTTTGTGCGGGATTCGCACATGCGACCATTATGATGTACGGCGAAGTGATAAATCGTTGGACTACCGGGGTCATAATAAGGGTCTTTATAAAAGGTGTAAAAAAATTACCACGATGTCAGAATATTTAGATGGTAGCGAGAGTTTGCCGTTCCGCGTATTGCATGCGTAACTCTTACGTGCGAAGCGCGGACGGAGCGCGTGTTACGGGCGCGTGGTGGTCGGCAGGGCGTGCTGTGCCGGCTGGAGGGCGCGGAGGAGCTGGCGGCGAGCGAGGCGGGCGCGGCGCTGGTGCGGCGGCTGCCCGGCGAGGTGCTGGTGGCGGCGCCCGGCCCGCGCCACGACCCGCTCGAGCCCTCCGTCGCGCTCGTGCTCTTCGACACCTCCACGCAACGAGACCTCAACCTCAACAAGGAGATCGTGCACGACTTCTGCACGGCCGGCACGTTCACTATCACGCAGGTGTGCCCTTACGCACCAGTCTAGTACGTTCGTTATTTATCAAGGCTACGTAATAGATTGCTTTTAGTTAAACGCATGCAGAGCTGTCTTTTTTCGGTTTTTTATTTTCTTACATAATATGTGTATGTGAATGATTAATTTTTAATACCTACTCATTTATTAACCATCAAGGACCGCTTGTAAACTACATTTCACATGTGGTGCGGTTTACGCAGAAACCGTGCGAGGTGGAGGTGGGGTGCGTGAGCGAGGAGGGCTGCGTGTGGGTGGCGCGCGCGGGCGGCGAGGCCATCGTGCGCGCCGCACTCGACCTGCTGACCGCCGGGCCCTACCGCCGGCCGCTGCCCGCTGCGCCGCACGCGCCCGCGCCCAGCGCCGCCGCGCTCTACATCGTGCGCATGCGCGCCGGAGATTGGTAACTGTTGCACACACCGCCGGCCCTACCGCCGGCCGCTGCCCGCTGCGCCGCACGCGCCCGCGCCCAGCGCCGCCGCGCTCTACATCGTGCGCATGCGCGCCGGAGATTGGTAACTGTTGCACACACCGCCGGCCCTACCGCCGGCCGCTGCCCGCTGCGCCGCACGCGCCCGCGCCCAGCGCCGCCGCGCTCTACATCGTGCGCATGCGCGCCGGAGATTGGTAACTGTTGCACACACCGCCGGCCCTACCGCCGGCCGCTGCCCGCTGCGCCGCACGCGCCCGCGCCCAGCGCCGCCGCGCTCTACATCGTGCGCATGCGCGCCGGAGATTGGTAACTGTTGCACACACCGCCGGCCCTACCGCCGGCCGCTGCCCGCTGCGCCGCACGCGCCCGCGCCCAGCGCCGCCGCGCTCTACATCGTGCGCATGCGCGCCGGAGATTGGTAACTGTTGCACACACCGCCGGCCCTACCGCCGGCCGCTGCCCGCTGCGCCGCACGCGCCCGCGCCCAGCGCCGCCGCGCTCTACATCGTGCGCATGCGCGCCGGAGATTGGTAACTGTTGCACACACCGCCGGCCCTACCGCCGGCCGCTGCCCGCTGCGCCGCACGCGCCCGCGCCCAGCGCCGCCGCGCTCTACATCGTGCGCATGCGCGCCGGAGATTGGTAACTGTTGCACACACCGCCGGCCCTACCGCCGGCCGCTGCCCGCTGCGCCGCACGCGCCCGCGCCCAGCGCCGCCGCGCTCTACATCGTGCGCATGCGCGCCGGAGATTGGTAACTGTTGCACACACCGCCGGCCCTACCGCCGGCCGCTGCCCGCTGCGCCGCACGCGCCCGCGCCCAGCGCCGCCGCGCTCTACATCGTGCGCATGCGCGCCGGAGATTGGTAACTGTTGCACACACCGCCGGCCCTACCGCCGGCCGCTGCCCGCTGCGCCGCACGCGCCCGCGCCCAGCGCCGCCGCGCTCTACATCGTGCGCATGCGCGCCGGAGATTGGTAACTGTTGCACACACCGCCGGCCCTACCGCCGGCCGCTGCCCGCTGCGCCGCACGCGCCCGCGCCCAGCGCCGCCGCGCTCTACATCGTGCGCATGCGCGCCGGAGATTGGTAACTGTTGCACACACCGCCGGCCCTACCGCCGGCCGCTGCCAGCTGCTCAACTAATTATTAGTTTTAGTTCAATAAAGTATTCTGTGTTAGCACTAATGTCTCACGTAAGCCAGTGAGTGAGAGTAATGTCTCACATACTACTTACATATAATGCCAAATAAACTAATGGTGCCATATCTGTGGATTACGTACATTTTCATTAGACTATTAGCTACCTTTCAATGTAGCTGATAATTTCGCGGAAAAAATCTAATCTTTTAAACTGTACCTAACTCTAGGTACTGATAGAGATATGTGAGAATAGATATACTATTGTTACAACTATACCTACTTGTTTAGCATAGTTTTATTTGGAATATATTTACTTTTCTATATTACGCTACTTTTCTATATTAGGGTACGATGCACTATTATAAGCGGGCTGGATGGCGAAGGAACTGTGAGGACACGACTAGTGGATAGCGGTTTGATTCTACGAGCTCCACTGTCATCGTTAGTGCCATTACAAACATTCTCACCGGCCCTGAACGCCTATCCCCATCAGGTATAGTAGCAATATTGTATTAATGTACTATTACATTTTTACCGAAATAATGAACTACACGTTGTATACTAATTTATTGTGTGCTCTGGCTTGATAATTTCAATTTGATTGATTTCAAATTTCACTCCTACAAGTCTTTTCAGAATATTTTTCGTTTCCGACATTTACACATAAAAAAAGAGATCATTTTTATGTTCCCTAATCTTCAATTCGTCGACAGTACATTTATGTCCTGCCAATTAATTGGTACAAAAATCAGTAAACCGTGATCGGGTAGAAAGCGTTAAGGCTTACAGAGTGGCCGAATCCATGTACTGTGGGTTCGGACACTGGAGTGTATGGGAGCAGGCGCGGGCGGTGCGGCTGGGCGCGGCGGAGCGTGCGGCGGGCAGTATGGCGGCGCGGCTGCGCGAGCTGGTGCTGGGCGCGCGCGTGCTGTGTCGCGCGCTGCCCGCGCCCGCCGCCGCCGCCGCCGCCGCCGCCGCCGGGGACGCGCCGCACGTGGAGCTGTTCGTGCGCACCGGCCCGCAGGACATGCTCGCTTCCGTCAACAACGCCATCCTCATGGAGTACGAGTGCCTCCAGCTGTGAGTTACATTCGTCGTTCACCGCCGCGGTCTCGCGATATACGCATTATCTGTCAAAGTACTATTTGTGAACAGTTTGAAAATTACCTTACGTATATATATGTACTAGCTGTACCCGCGACTTCGTTCGTGTGGTTATCAAAAACACTTCATACATATTTTTTTACGCAGTGCACGCAACGGAAGCCCGTAAATATGAATAATTTTCCCCGTTTTTGCAACATTTGTTACTGATGCTTCGCTTCCATTGGTCGTAGCGTTATAATATATAGCATAAAGCCTTCCTCGATAAATGGACTATCCAACACTAAAGTTCTGAGATTAGCGCGTTCAAACAAACTAACAAACTCTTCAGCTTTATAATATTAGTATAGAATTGTCACACACAATTCTATTCTTGTACCTATGTCTAATATTATATTCGTGTATGTATGTTTGTTATAAAATATTCAATTTACAATACAAGAACAATAGAAAAACTGACTATTTGAATGTAGATATTTAGCACCCCTAAGAGTGGTTGTGGTGTGATGTATGATAGTAGTATATACATAATATAAAAAATGTGGCGAACAGTACCTGACAATATTGATAAAGATGATGGGTGGGGAATAATATCGGCTCAAATGTACATACCTTGAGGAAGGCTCGATGTGCTCTTTCTAATTTCAATAGTGATGTTTTACTATACTGTAAGCACAATATAGTTAACATACTAATAAAATCAATACAAAATGGAAAGAAGTGGTAAAAATACGATGTACATATTGACTTTTAGATGTAGATTTTCGTGTATGTTCATTTTAACATTATTTTATATATATTACCGTAACTCATTTTGTAAAGTTGCTTTGCATAAAATAAAATTATGGTAATATATAACTATATAATAATTAACAATTTGTTATTAAGGCAAAATGTTTTGAATAAATGTTGAATTATTCACATAATTTATAATAAACTAGCAACCCATCCCTGCTTCGCACGGATGCATTACAATTGTTTGAATTTGTCGGGTTGTTCTATACACGCATATGTTATACATATTAATTTTCCTTCGCATATTCATCTTGAATTTCTTTATCTAGTGCTAAAAAGTGCATTAAAATCCGTTGCGTAAATTAAAATGTATAAGCGAAAAGACAGCGGCCGCGACTTTGTTTTTCACTATGTAAACATATATTCGTGTTCCAAATGGTACTTAGTGTTAATACAATGCATATATAATGTTGCAGAGGCAGCTTAAAAGATGATGAGAAAGAAACAACAAACCACGTGGAAGCCCTAAATAGAAAGAAGGAGCGTATATTCCGCACTCAGTCATCAGGAGGTGTGCAGCCTGCGACTGGCTTGCGTTCTGCATTGCCACCGCCGACACTGCCCACGCCCGGGCAGTGCTTCGATGTTTTCGTACCGATGGCTGCTAATCCATGGAATTTCGTTGTGAGTACTCTCTCGTGATTAAGTACAATGTGAAATGCAAAGTTCGAAAAACAACATTGGGATAAGTGTCTTTTACTTCATCTTATCGTCCTCACTGGTGCCCCGCCAGCACATTATTTTTGGAAAACCAAGGCGATTTACAAACATAGTTATAAACATAATTAAATCAGAACGACCACTTACAGGTTTTTACGGATAGAAACGTAATATAAAACTAGAGGGTGCGTGTGTGCGCGGGCCTCAAGAGGCCCGCGAGGCGTTGTCGCTGATTTTTTTTGTGAAGACGGTTTTCTTTTCGTTGTTAGAGTTGTCTGTTTTGATACGATTAGGTGACTTCCTATTGTAACAGTGAATTTCTGTTTCACGTGTACCATATATACCTGTGGCGAAACTTTGTATTGTAATGGTCACAATACAAAACCTAACCTAACCTACCTTTCTGTATACTATATTAGTCTGGGGTCAAAGTGTTTAATGTAGAGATCATAATACGAAACCTAACCTAACCTACCTCTTTGTTTACTATATTATTCTGAGGCCATAATTTCTACTGTAAGAGTCGCAATACAAAACCTAACTTAACCTACCTTTCTGTATACCATTTCGACCTGTGGCTTTAATTTTTATTGCAATGGTCGCAATACAAAACCTCACATTACCTACCTTTCTGTATACTATATCAATTTGGGTTCACAGTTTCTGATATAGAGATCATAATACGAAACCTAACCTAACCCACGTTTCTGTGTACCTTATTGATCTGTGGCCAATTTCCATATTCTCCTGTCTATAGACCTAACCTTATCTTACTTTTCAGTATACTAATAGTCTGAGGCAATAATTACTATTGAGTAGCAATCTAACCTAACCTACCTCTCTGTATACCTTATATATTTTTGACCATAATTTCTATTGTAAAGGAAATAAAGAAAAACGTCTAGGTTGCGTGTGGGTCGTTTTAGCTGATTTTTTTTATGGTGAAGGTTTTCTTTTCGATCTTGGTTGGCAGAAACATGTTTTGATACGAAACTATACCACAAATGTCAATTCCTATTGTAAGAGTGAAAAAAACGAAACCTAACTCACTGTTTGTATACCGTATTGACTTATGGCGCCACTTTGTATTGTAATGGTCCCAATACAAAACCTAACCTACATTTCTTTACAATACATATATTAGTCTGTGATCATAGTTTATAATGTAGAGAACAGAATACGAAATCTAACCTAATTCACTTCTGCATACCGTATTGATCTGTGGCTATAATTTCTATTATAATTGGCCATTATATTACTACCTAACCGAATACGAAATACAAAATCATATCGAACCCTACTTTCTATATACTAATTAGTATGGGGTCGCTATTTCTAATGTAGAGGTCATATAACTGAACCTTACCTAACCAACTTTTATACCTTATAGAATAGATCTGTGACCAAAATTTCCAGTGTAAAGGACATATAAATCATAACTGTATTTTTTACACGAACGATTATCATTTAGAATAGTCACCAAAGCAGGAATGAATTCCAAGATAGTCTCCTTAGCTGGTAATAAACCGTGGATATCATACAATGAAAGAAATGTATGGACAAAACTTATTCTCATTATTTACAATCTGAAAATTTTACACATTTTGCAATCTTCAAATTACAAAATCCAAAGACAAAAATTATTCAGAACAGCATTCCTGAAAATAATTTCGACATCGAAAATGTTCAATATTTGTGTGAGTTTTTATGTCACAATCCAAAACTAATTTGATATTTGTGGTCACCTATACTAAGGTATAGGCGAAAAATTGACGTCTTCGGCCGCAGTATTGAATTTTTATTTTTTTTTATTTTGGCTTAGCTACCAGGGTGGCAAAAACATTTCGTCCATACATTGTCAACTCCTTCTAATAGTTTAGTATAACCGATGTAACAACTTACATCGGTTTTCATAATAATGTTTTCCAAATAATTTTGATAAAAGCCTTAGGGTTATTATTTATCGTAGGTAAAGGACCTATGATAAATAATAACCACTCATCACTCTTTTAATTAAAATATCATAAATATTAAAATCGGGGAAAGTTTTTAGCGCTGGCAATACTGAGATTCAATGCCATCCCATAAAAGCGGACTCGCTGCATGGTTACTATGTACCAAAATAAAAAAATCTTCCAAATTTTGTTCAATTTAACCTCGGCGGCCATCTTGGATTTTTCCATTTTGATACTTCTGACATATATATTACATTACGACAGATATATTTCGTCCACATATTGTACAGAGACACGGTCCTTTTAGTGGGTCCTTAGTAAATATTACTTTCTACGAAAATCTATGCCTGGTGTTGCCCCCTAATTTTACAAAAAATTGCATAAAACTATTAAGATGAGATTTATAATAGATACCCATCACATTTATTTTTAAAAAAATGTCGAAAAAATTTCCCACATTTTGGGTTTGCTAAATTACCCGAAAATCGGGGAAAATTTGTAGCCTATATAATTCTTCTTATCTTTGCTCCGTAGAAGTCAACATGCTGTAAGGAATAAAATAGTACCCCAAAAATGAGTTTTAAAACGTCCCTAAACTTGTCATCAGGAATAAAGTACCCTAACTCGGCCGCTATCTTGAATGATTGCTTTTTAAATAGTTTTAACATATACACCTTAGTGAGAAACATTTCGTCCATACATTGTACAGAGCCAAGGTAACTCCTTCTAGTTGTTCCTAAGTACTGTTTACAATGGAAATCGATCGATGTATGGTGTTGCCAGCACATTTTGACAAAAACCGCCTAAGACCCCTTGGGGATTATTTTTGACAGATCGTCATCATTGTTTGGTCTAAAATGATGAAACAAAAAATCCCACGTTTTTTACTTCTCTCCGATATTACCCTAAAATCGGGGAAAATTTTTAGACCAGGTAGTGCTTCGTACCGAGAGTTTCCACTGCTCCATAAAAGTCAACTCGCTGCAGTGACGATGGGTACATGAAAACTGAATTAAATAAAGTACCCTAACTCGGCCGCCATGGATTTTTACTTCTTAATACTTTTGACGTATTCACCCTAATAACAGAAACATTTCGTCCATACATTATGTAGAGTCTCGATGACTTCTTCTTGTACTATTCCCTAAGAAAACTGATCTAAGATGTTGCCAAATAATTCTGACAAAAACCACGAAAAACCAATAAGGGGATGATTTTTGACAGATATCCATCATTATTTTGTTTGAAATATCGAAAAAAAAATCCCACATTTTGGACTTGTCTTGTAAATTACCCAAAATCGGGGAAAATTTTCATACCATTTTTCCTTTTTCGTACATATATTGTACAGAGACACGGTCCTTCTAGTGGGTCCTTAGTAAATATTACTTTTTACGAAAATCGATCCATGGTGTTGCCACCTAATTTTACAAAAAATCGCATATAACTATTAAGATGATATTTATTATAGATCTCCGTTGCTCTTATATATAGTTTGTCGAAAAAAAAATCCCACATTTTGGGTTTGCAAAATTACCCAAAAAACGGGGAACATTTGTAACCTAGGTAATATTTCGAACCGAAATCTACCACTGCTCAATAAAGGTCGACTCGCTGCAGGGAAGCCAGGTAAATTTATCATCAGAGAAAAAATACTCAAACTCGGCCGCCACCTTGGATTTTTCCTTTTTTAAATACTTTTAACTTATCCACTTTGGTGACAGAAACATTTTGTCCATACATTGTACAGATGTAAGGTGACTCCTTCTAGTACTTCCTTAGTACTGTTTACTATGAAAATTAGTTAATACTTCGCACCGAGAGTTTCCATTCCTCAATAGAAGTCAGTTCGCTGCAGGGTTGATAGGTGCCACAAAACTGAATTTACTAAAAAGACCTTAAAATTGTCATAATAAATAAAGTATCCTAATTCGGCCGCCATCTTGGATTTTTCCTTTTTAAATACTTTTAACACATACATTTTGGTGACAGAAACACTTCATACATACATTGTACAGAGCCCAGGTTACACCTCTAGTTCCTTAGTACGGTTTACTATGAAAATCGATGTATGGTGCTGCCAGATGATTTTGACAAAAACCACCTAGGATCCTTTGGGGGATGATTTTGAACCAATGCTCATCACTGTTTTGTTCAAATTAACGAAAAAAAAATTCCCACGTTTTTTTACTTTTCTCTGAAATTACCCCAAAATCGGGGAAAATTTTTAGACCAGGTAAAATTTTCCACCGAGAGTTTCCATTGCTCTATAGAAGTCAACTCGCTGCAGGGTTTAATTTATATTACCCCAAAATTGAATTTTAAAAAGTCCCTAAAATTGTCAACATAAATTAAGTACCCTAACTCGGCCGCCATCTTAGATTTTTACTTTTTAATACTTTTGACGTATTCACCTTAGTGACAGAAACATTTCGTTCATACATTGTATAGAGCCTCGGTGACTCCTTCTAGTACTATTCTCTAAGAATACTGATGTAAGGTGTTGCCAGATAATTCTGATAAAAACCACCTAAAATCAATAGGGGGATTGTTTTTGACAGATTTTCATCATTCTTTTGTTTGAAATGTCCAAAAAAATTTTTCCCACTTTTTAAGACCTATCTCAAAAATTACCCTAAAATCGGGGAAAATTTTTATACCAGGTAATACTTTGTGTTGAGACACATCATCTCTCCATAGTAGTCGACTGGCTGTGGGGTTGCCAAGTGTCCTAAAACTACATTTAAAAATATCCCAAATTTTCTCCGAAAAGCAAAACTCCCCTATCTCTGCCGCCATTTTGGATTTTTACTTCTTAATACTTTTGACGTATTCACCCTAGTAGCAGAAACATTTCGTCTATACATTATGTAGAGCTTCGGTGACTTCTTCTTGTACTATTCCCTAAGAAAACTGATCTGAGGTGTTGCCAGATAATTCTGACAAAAACCACCAAAAACCCTTAAGGGGATGACTTTTGACAGATTTTCATCATTCTTTTGTTTGAAA